GCAGAAAGAGTTATCTTGCATATTGAAACCGCTGAATTTATTCCAGATGACACAGAGTTGACTTCATTGTTTATCCAGGTACAAGACATAATCAGGAACAGGCTTTGTCTGATGTACATAACACACATCCGGTCCCATACAGGTCTGCCTGGTCCTCTAGCCCAAGGCAACACTGAGATTGATCAATTATTAATTGGAAGTGTGTTGCAGGCCTCAGAATTTCATAAGAAGCATCATGTCAATAGTAAAGGCCTAAAGAAAGAATTTTCCATTACTTGGCAACAAGCTAAGGACATTATAAAGAGATGTCCTACTTGTTCTTTCTATAATCAAACACCGTTGCCTGCAGGGAGTAACCCAAAGGGTACTAAGAGAAATGAAATCTGGCAGATGGATGTGTTCCACTTTATGGAATTTGGTAAATTAAAATATGTACACCACACCATAGACACGTATTCAGGTTTTCAATGGGCTACTGCCTTGAGCTCAGAAAAGGCTGATTCAGTAATCACACATTTATTGGAAGTTATGGCCATCATGGGTATACCTGCGCAAATAAAGACAGATAATGGTCCAGCATATGTATCTAAGAAAATGAATCGCTTTTTTGATTATTATAATATAAAACAAATTACAGGTATACCAAATAATCCTACAGGTCAGGCAGTTATTGAAAGATCAAATCGTACTATAAAGGATATGCTGAACAAACAGAAAGGGACGGAAATACCCACAGAAATAGATTACATAATGCTTTATTAACCTTGAATTTTCTTAACGCTAATGAGAAAGGAACGACAGCAGCAGAAAGACATTGGATAAAGGAAAATCTGCTGAACTAAATCAACCGATTTATTTCAAAGATGTGCTGACCTCTCAGTGGAAGCCAGGAGATGTGCTACGTTGGGGAAGGGGTTTTGCTCTTGTTTCCACAGGAGAAGAAAAATTGTGGATACCATCAAAATTAATAAAGTTTCGATTTGAAGAGGAGAAACCTCTTGGAAAGGAGAAATGACAACTCATCCACAACGATGATTTTCATACAGGTGGTAAGAAAAACATATAGAATGGGGGCAGGGTTCTGTTCTTATCTCCACAGGAAAACACTCATATTTGAGAAATTCAAGGGACCCTGGATGTTTGGATACTGACAGATGGAAAAATACCTGCCCAATAGGAAATATCAAGACAACTGAATGGGTTGTGTAACTAATATTAAACCATATTTCTAAATTTATAAAGCTGGTTTTGAAGTTGGACTCTGGCTCAGTCCCTCTCCAATTCCAAGCCTGTTAGTAAGAGAAAAACCCAGAGTTTCTGGAGTTTCTGTCTCATGTCAAGAGCCATGATATGGGACAGAAAGAAATATGAGTTTAGAAAACATCTTTGCTTTTCTTCATATCTATCATTCTTTTCATTGAATATATCTATCATGTCTTTCATTGAATATATATATATATATATATATGTCTATATGATTAATGTTTAAGTTTTTCATAATGAACAATGAGTTTTTCCTGAAGTGACATTTGAAGTTTCCAGGAAGAAGATGGGGCCCCATAACAACAACTCCACCTGGTTGATATGACGTCATGATACTGATAGCGCTACTACAAGACCTGCTTTGGGTACCAGCTGCACAAGACAGTTCCAACTTGGTTAGCTGAAATGGTGCACATCTTATACAACATTTTGGCCAGACCTGCACGAAAATACTCAGAGACTATTTGCAATTTTAAAAGACATTATCTTGAAATTTAACCATCATTTTACTTTCACAGGATACCCCAGAAAGAACGTCGCCCCTATGACAGCTGGAAGTAATTCTAGAGGACGACGTCCCCTCTCCCAGTAAAGTTTGCCCTTGGGTTTAGGGACATCATTTAGGGGTTGATTATAATTAGTATATGATTGAGGGTTGGGGGAGGAATTTTATAAGCTCAGGGATCATTTTGAAAAAAAAAAGAGGGATGATGGGATAATAGATTTGTAATTGTGAGTTACTGTCTTTAGACAAATATATTGGTATAGATTCTTGTATATTGATACAAAGTTAAATTATATTGACTATTGTATGCATGCATGTTTCTACCTCTGTTTAAACAGAGGTAGAAACATGCATGCATACAATATCTATCTAACTTAAAGACTAAGACAATAAACGACTGTGAAACAAATGAGGACAATGACCTCCAAATATAAACAATGTACAAATATACATTGTAGTAGGTAAATATATATCAATACACAAATATTATATAAGTATCTTAATCAGAGGTAGAAATGTACACTGCAATATGGTAAATATATATATATATATATATATATATATATATCAATACAATATATGTCAATACATAAAAAATGTTTTAAACAGAGGTAGAAACATGCATGCGTACAATAGTCAATATAATTTAACTTTGTATCAATATACAAGAATCTATACCAATATATTTGTCTAAAGACAGTAACTCACAATTACATATATATATATATATATATGTATATTTGTACATTGTTTATATTTGGAGGTCATTGTCCTCATTTGTTTCACAGTCGTTTATTGTCTTAGTCTTTAAGTTAGATAGATATTGAGAATTATATAGACTAATAGTCATCTAAGTTTGTCATTTATAATTAGACTAATCAGGTTCTTTAGATATATAGAGATTATACTCAGTATAGATAGATAATCTTCAACTTCTTCAAAGAGCTGTAGAAAATGGCCTTTAATCTAACTCAGAGTTTTGTGGTAGTGAGACACAATTGCTCCTGGCAACACCACTCTATTCCCGAGAGAATGTTGAGCACCAAAGACACTCCACCTGGAGCCTTCTTTTTGGCAGAACTGGCCTTGGGTCAAAGAAATGCCCATACCTCAACGACTGACAAAGATACAGAGCGTGCATCAATGGATAAACCAGGGCTGTCATATCCTGCCAAGACAGGGTAAGATAGTTTTGAAAAGTTGCTTGCCTTTGAAAATGGTATGTCAGTTATGTTAGGCCTTAGCCAAAGTTGGTTGCTTCAACGCTGCTAACGTGATTTTGGGTGATTGCCCAGGTAGCCAGTTGTCTCTGTGATTTGTTGCAGGTTTTGGAAGTTGTTTTACTGAACTTCCTAATTACCCAGGTAACATTATTTCCCTTCTCAGATCTTTGATGGGGTTGAAGTCTGTATAAGTGTAGTTACTTTATCTCATGACTTGGCCAAGTTATTTATTATACAAGACCTAAGCTAGTTAGAATAGGATATTTGTACTTATTGTATATAATTTCATAGAAGGTTTAGAACTCTCTTATTTAAACAAAAGGGGGAGGTGTTGCAGGAGGTCCTCCCACTCCTCCAGCCTATCACCGCTGAGATACCAGCCCATTGGGGCGTGGTCTCTTTCCCTTTAAAAAAACGGCCACTTCCCTCTCCTCCTTTCTTCACTTCCTGCTCCGCCGGCGACTAGACTCCTTTCCTGGTTGCGTAGAGGGCTGTTGCCTGGGACAGGGATCTGTAAGTTTTTCCCCTTTAAATAAATACCACCCTAATTATCATAACCCCAAATTGGTGTGGCATTGTTTGTGACTTACGCCTTCAAGTGTGGTGGTTTCTCAGGAAACTGGGAGTCAACCTACCTAAGGACCCAGCAATTCCACTCTTGGGAATATACCCAAGAGATGCCCAATCATACAACAAAAGTATATGCTCAACTGTGTTCATAGCAGCACTATTTGTAATAGCCAGAACCTGGAAACAACATAGGTGCCCCTCAATAGAAGAATGGATAAAGAAGGTGTGGCACATGCAAATACATGGAAATAGGTAACACTTTACTGAGTAAGATAACCAAGACCCAAAAATATGAATATGGTATGTACTTACTCATAAGTGGATTCTAGCCATAAATAATGGACATTGAGCCTATAATTCACTATCCTAGAGAAGCTAAATAAGAAGGTGAATCCAAAAAAAAAACCCACATAATTATTCTCCTGGATATTGGAAGTGGACAAGATTGCCAGGCAGGGGTTGGGAGCAAGGGGGTAGCGCTGGGGTGGGTGTAAGGGGAGATGGGGAGAGAGAAGGAAAAAGGGGGGGATGGGGGAGGATGGGAGAGCTTGGGGAAATGGGATGGTTGGGATGGAGGAGGGGTGGATTTGGGAGCAGGGAAGTAGATATCTTAATTAAGCGAACCATTTTATGGTTGGCAAGAGACTTTTCTCTAAATTGGTTCCCATGTGTCCGAGGAGATATCCCCAGCTTGTTCTTTGGCCAGCAGAGGAGAGGGTGCCTGAACTGGCCTTATCCTATAGCCACACTGACGAATATCTTGCATATCACCATAGAACCTTCATTTGGCAGTGGTGATGGATAGAGATAGAGACAGAGACCCACACTGGAGCTACTGAGCATGAAACTCAAGAATGTTGGGGTACTGAGGATAAATCAAACCAAACGAAGAAAACAGAAGGAATAGGACAAGGAGAAGTAAACGGAAACTTTTCCCTCAGCTGGTGACTCCTATTCTGAGTCTGGACTACATGATCTTTTCAAGACTACTGTGTAGTTGAACCACAGCATGTGCTGGAATCTCACTACTCATGTTCAACTCACACACCTGAATGACAAAGGAAAAATGACAGCAGACTGCACATATGATTAACAGAGTCTGTCACACATTGAAAAGAGGAAGACAGAGGCTTTAATATCATATGTCAGCACACACACACACAAACACACACACACACAAAGAGAGAGAGAGAGTAGTTAGAGAGAAAGTGAGAGAGAAAGAGAAAGAGGGAGAGTGAGACACCGAGACAGTTAGAAAGAGTTAAAGGGAAACAAGAAGAAACACTGTAATAAATAAACATACACAAACCAACAGGAAAAAGAAATTGGAATAAACATTTGGACATTCGTTATATGTAGAGGCAGTGCAGACACAGAGAAGTCCAGTCTTCCATGCTTCTCTAAGCAGGATCTTCTTTGATACTGATTTCTAAGTGATCTCAGCGCTCCCTGCTGGTCTTCTGTTTCCCACAGGGGTGTTTTTGTCTGGGCTCACAGTAGCATTCACTTACTGTGTCTCTTGCACAGTAATACATGGCTGTGTCTTCAGACTTCAGACTGCTCATTTCCAGGTACAGAGTGTTCTTGGCATTGTCTCTGGAGATTGTGAACCGGCCCTTCACAGCGTCAGTATACCAGGTGCTACCACCACCACTGCTAACGGATGCAACCCACTCCAGCCCCTTCCTGGGAGCCTCGCGGACCCAGCTCATTTCATAACTATTGAAAGTGAATCCAGAGGCTGCACAGGAGAGTTTCAGGGACTTTCCAGGCTGCACTAAGCCTCCTCCAGACTCCACCAGCTGCACCTCACACTGGACACCTAGAAACACACAAAATGCTAATCAGACGACTGTCACTGAAGCCATGTTTTCTTTTTCATGTCACACAACACACAGATAGCATCTCTTCTCCATTACTTACCACTTAAAATAACAGCAAGGATAAGCCAAATAAGCCACAAGTCCATGGTGAGTGATCTGTGTTGGATGCTGATCACTGAATGGGAGAACCTGGGAATCCAGAACTGGACTCATCTGCCAGACCTGCAGAGTCAAGGTAGAGGTGGTTTTAATGGGCACAGAGAAGCCTTATTTGCATGTCTTCCTCCTGTAGCAAGCTCTGGAGTTGGGCCCTTGGCAGAAGGCAGTGCTCCGAGCAGATATAAGGCATCAGAGACTGACATAGTAAAGAACCTCTAAGTGAGCTTTTTCTAGCTAAGGATTCACCACACTTAGTTCTCTTTCACGCAGGTGTTCAGAACATGCTGTGTTTCTGAACTGTTGTATCTCCTTAGTATATCTATGCAATTTAAAAGAGTCAAAAACTGTTGTGTTTCTGTGTAGGAACTCTGTCTTTCTCAGTCTCTGGAACAGACATAGGTTCTCCATAATGTGGATCTTGGACAGGGTCGTGCCTATGGGGAGAGGTTAGCAGAACTCCTTCCTTATGTCAGGAGCACCTTGGAATTTTCTGAATTTTACATATTTATGAGACAATACTGTTCTCAGGCCATAAAAGACTTACAAATGACACAACCTTGTTGCTGCTGCTCTACTTTTGTCATGGTTTTGACCACATCAGTAGATAACAGACAGGGACAAATTAAAATTGTTCTGATGAAAGGATCGATGGAGGGATGGTGAACGTTCAACCCCATCATATACACACAGTTACACTTTTAGATGTAGCCATACACCCCAATGCACACACTCACAATCATACACACAGATTCACGCTTACAGACACAGTCACCAATCCAATTACCTTCCATGTAGTCACATTTTCTGATATTCACACATTCAAACACTCACTCTCACACACATATGTACACATAATCACTTCCACATGTAGAAACATGTTTACTGGCAGAGGGATTGGATTTTTTTCTTCCTGTCTCTTGACATGGTCAATCTGGTTGGCTTGGACTCACTATATAGACCAAGCTGATATTGAACCATGAGAGATTCTCTTACTACTGTTTCCCTAGTGACTGGATTAAAAGTATGCACTACATTTCTGAGCATCTCATGCTGATTTTGTTAAAGTTTGAAATATTTTTATAGAAAAATTTCTGATTATTATTTACTTCCCTCATTTCTTCCAGGTCCTTCCTCTTTCTTAAACTGCCCAACTCTATAACAAATGGAGTTTTATGGTGATTTTAGGGGTTAGGCTCATGGCTTTCATTTTCAAATAGACAATAAATGGTTTAAAAATCAATAATTAATAATATATTTTATCTTTGAAAAACCATTACATAATGCTTGTATTTGTCTTATAATTTAAAATGTTTTAACCCAATTAAAAAATGGGGCACTGAACTGAACAGAGAATTCTCAGCAGAGGAACTTCAAATGGCCAAAAGACACTTAATGTCATGCTCAACCTCCTTAGCAATCAGGGAAATGCAAATCAAAACAACTTTGAGATATCATCTTACACCTGTCAGAATGGCTAAAATAAAAAACTCCAATGATAGCCTTTGCTGGAGAGGCTGTGGAGGAAGGGGTACCCTCATCCATTGCTGGTGGGAATGCAATCTTGTGCAACCACTTTGGAAATCAGTGTTTCGGTTTCTCAGGAAATTCGGGATCAACCTACCCCTGGACCCAGCAATACCACTCCTGGGAATATACCCAAGAGATGCCCTTTCATATGACAAGAGCATTTGTTCAACTATGTTCATAGCAGCATTATTTGTAATAGCCAGAATCTGGAAACAACCTAGATGCCCTTCAATGGAAGAATGGATGAAGAAAGTGTGGAATATCTACACATTAGAGTACTATGTGGCGGTAAAAAACAATGACTTCTCGAATTTTGCATGCAAATGGATGGAAATAGAAAACACTATACTGAGTGAGGTAACCCAGACCCAAATAGATGAATATGGGATGTACTCACTCATAATTGGTTTCTAGCCATAAATAAGGGACACAGAGCCTACAATTGGTGGTCCTAAAGAAGCTAAGTAAGAAGGTGAACCAAAGGAAAAACATATAGTTATCCTCTTGGCTATGGGAAGTAGACAAAGTTGCCGGGGAGAAAATTGAGATCTTGGGGGTGGGGTGGGATGGGGGTAAGGGGAGATGGGGAGAGAAACGGGAGAAGGGGAGGAAGGGGGGGAACTTGGGGAAAAAGGAGGATTGGGATAAAGGAAGGTTGGATAGGGGAGCACGGAAGCACAATTCTTAGTTAAGGGAGCCACCTTAGGGCTGGCAAGATACTTATACCTAGAGTGCCTCCCAGGTGCCCAAGCCGAGGTCCCCAGTTAATTCCTTGGGCAGCTGGGGATAGGGAACCTGAAATGACCCTATCCTATAGCAATACTGACGAATATCTTGCATATCATCATAGAACCTTCATCTGGTGATGGATAGAGATAGAGACAGAGATCCACACTGGAGAACTGGATTGAGCTCCCAAGGTGCCAATGTGGAGCAGGAAGGAGAACATGAGCAAAGAAGTCGGGACCACGAGGGGTGCACCCACCCACTGAGACAGTGGAGCTGATCTATTGGGAGTTCACCAAGGCCAGCTGGACTGTGACTGAAAAAGCATGGGATAAAACTGGACTCTCTGAGCATGGCGAACAATGAGGGCTGATGAGAAGCCAAGGACAATGGCACGGGGTTTTGAACCTACGTAATGTGCTGGCATTGTGGGAGCCTAGCCAGTTTGGATGTTCACCTTCCTAGAAATGGACGGAGGGGGGAGGCCCTAGGACTTACCACAGGGCAGGGAAATCTGATTGCTCTTTGGGCTGGAGAGGGAGGGGGAGAGGAGAGGGGGAGGGGGAGAAGGGTGGGAGGAGGGGGAGGGAAATGGGAGGCTGGGAGGAGGTGGAAACTTGGTTTTTTTTTCTCATTTTCTCAATAAAAAAAAAGATTTAAATAAAAAAAAGAAAGAAAAAAAAGATGTAAGAACTAGCCAATAAAAAGCTCGTGCTAATAGGCCATGCAGTGATTTAAAAAATAAATAAATAAATAAATAAAATGTTTTATTAATGTCCACAAAATATAGCAACAAGATCCATAACTGAGCCTGCCTACCTGCATGAGTACCTTAGTTGCATTCTCAGCACTTGTCGATGAAGCTGGGTGTGATGACTTGTCATCCCACCATTCTATCTTCTGAGCTCCAGGTTCAGTGTGAGACCCTCTCTCAACAACTAAGGTAGATGTCAACTGAGGAATACACTCAGGATCAACTTCTGACATTCACAACCATGTGGAAACCTACACTGTGACTATTAACATTTCCATTCATTCAAATATTTCCTTTTCCCTGTGTTGAACTTTGTAGCTGTTTAGAAGCAAGTCATGGAAGCTGTAGACCTAGGCTGACTGGCTTGTTATTTTGGGAAGCAAGAACAGGACCCACTGAGACAGTAGGGCTGATCTATTGGGAGCTCACCAAGGACAGCTGGACAATGACTGAAAAAGCATGGGATAAAACCAGACTCTCTGAGCATTGCGAACAATGAGGGCTGATGAGACACCAAGGACAATGGCAGGGGGTTTTGATCCTACTTAATGTGCTGGCTTTGTGGGAGCCTAGCCAGTTTGGATGTTCACCTTCCTAGATATGGACAGAGGGGGGAGGACCTTGGACTTTCCACAGGGCACGGAACCCTGACTGCTCTTTGGACTGGAGAGGGAGGGGGAGAAGAGTGGGGGGGAGGGGGGAGAAGGGTGGGAGGAGGGGAATGGGAGGCTGGGAGGAGGGAGAGAAACTTTTTTTTTTCCTTTTCTCAATAAAAAAAAAAAGAAAGAAAATTCCTAGAATTATATGTAACTGAAACCACATCTAACCATATCTTTGAGGTACAGGTAAAATAATTTTAGGAGACAGTTTCTAGCCATGGGAGGCTACTGACTAGCTTTTTACAGTGTTAGAAAGTACAAGGCATGCTCCTTGGACGGGGGTATGTGCAATCAGCAGTCTTATGTGTCTTTGAACCCTGTGAAGTATAAAATTGACTACCCTGGAAAAATTATTTTCATTTGTGTAATAGTAGCAAAAATGTGTTAGGAGTAATAAACTACTTTCTTATTGGATTAAAGGCTGAATTTAGAACAACAACAAAAAAAGAACAGGACTCTTGTGACTCATTGTATACCTGTTCCTCTCTAAAACTTTCATCGTCCCTTACTAATATAGGGGTTGTCATTCTTTCTCCAGCCATAAAATTGCATATTTTAAGTGTATTAATGTGAGAAATGATATTTTTCTTTATACAGTTCTGATCTTTTTCTTTTTAAATTGGGCTTGTTTCTTGCATTTAAGAACTTGCACATGGAAAGGTGATCAGACAATAAAAGATACAAGTCCAACTTCACCCACAAACACTCCAACCCACTGACCCCACAACATCAGAGGGTGCTGAAACACAAGCTGCAACTACAGAGAAAGTACAAAGAAAGGAAATCTAAAGCACAAGCTGTGACTTCACAGAGTGGGCCAAAAGCAAACCAGGAAAGCAGACTAAGAGAGACCCCAGTGGCTCTCTGACACACATACATTGACAGAACAGAGCAGACAAAAAAAAAAAATCCCAAAGATGCAGTCAGCCACTGCAAGTATTGAACCAAGATGAAAAGACATTGCCTATATCAATTAAAGGGAGAGGTAGGTAGGCATTAATGCAAGAATTTGTACAACAATCTAAAAAGCAACACTGTAACACCAGAACCCAGTGGACGTACAATAGGAAGATTTGATCATCTTAACCCAGAAGATGCAGAAAAAAATCATTTTAAATGTAACTTTATGAAGATTATGGGGACCTTGAAAGAGGAAATGAAAAATTCCCTTAAAGAAATGGAGGAACAGACACACAAAAAAATTGGAAGAAATTAATAAATTACTCAAAGAATCACAAGAAAACCAAGAAACAGCAATAAAAGAGGGGAACGAAACAATTCAAGATTGAAGATTGAAATACAGACAATAAAGAAAAGACAAACAGAGGGAATTTGGGATATAGAAAACCTG